TCCCTAGACACCTCGGGTTCAAATCTAGGTTCACAGCTTCTTAGATGTATAACCTTGGGCAAGAAATTTAAAGTTTCTGTCACTCTATTACCAGATTTTAAAAATTGGGAAATTAATAATGCCTACTTCATAGAGGTATTCTGAGGATTTATGGATATATGTAATGCACTGGCCTATACTAACCAAGTGTGAAACATCTTTTTCTTAAACAAATTCACTCAAAAAGTCTGTAATTTCCTGTGTGCCAGACTTTGATTTAGCTATTGTAGACAAAAGAACAAAATGCCTTCAAAAATTAACAATGGAGATTGACATTAGAAAAGCAAGAATTTGAACAAATAAAAATATCAGATAAGGATAAGTGTAATACAGAAAATAAAGCAGGACAATGTAATAGAGAGTAGCTTGGTTAGAGGTCAGTGTACATGGAGAAAAAGTAATAATTTTGAGTAACTGAAATGATTTCCTGATGCATCACACTAGAGCAGTTAAGAAAGTGAAGGATTAAGGAGGACTCTCAGTTTTGACATGAACTACTGGATAGGAATTAATGAATATGATGAGCTGAATAACAACCCCCCCGATATCTATCTATGTTCTTAAAAGATATAATATCATACAAAATATCTTCTCTGACCACAAAGGGATGAGATTAGAAATCAAGAACAGAAACAGAAAATGCACAGATTTGTAGAAATTAAACAACATACTATTTAACAACCAATGCAACAATGAAAAAAAAATCTAATCAGGAATTAGAAATTATCTGGAGACAAATGAAAACTCAATATGCCAAAGCCAAACCTTATGGGACACAGCAAAAGTTTTTCTAGGGAGAAAATGTATACCTATAAACCCTTACATTAAAAAAGAAAAAAGATCTCAAATTAACAACAAAACTTAACCATGTAAGAAACTGGAAAAACAACAAACTGAATCCCAAACTAGTAGAAGAAAGCAAATAAGATTAAAGATAAGTGAAACGTAGAATAGAAAACAATAGAGAAAAATCAACAAAACTAAAAGATAGTTCTTTGAAAAAATCAACAAAATTAACAAGTCTTTAGCTAGACTGACTAAGGGAACAAAAGAAAAGACAAGACTCAAATTACTAAAATTAGCAATGAAAGTGGGGATGTTATAATCAATGCTATGGAAATAAAAAGGATTATGAGAGTACTATAAACAACTGTATGACCATAAATTAGATAACCTAGATGAAATGTGCACATTTCCCAAAACAAAACCTACCAAAAGTGAATCACGAAGAAAGAGAAATCATAAATAGAACTATAATTAGCAAGGAGATTAAATCAGTAATCAAAAATCAAAAGCCCTGGACAAAACAGCCTTTTTATATGGTTTTAGGTAAAGGTCCAACTTCATTTTTCTACATGTGGATATCTAGATTTCCCAGCACCACTGGAAAAAAAATGACTGTCCTTTCTCAGTTGAATGGTCTTGGTACCCTTGTTGAAAATCATTTGAATATATATATATATATATATATATATATTCCTGAACTTCCTATTCTTTTCCATTGGTTTAGATGTCTGTCTTTATGCCAGGATCATACTGTTTTAATTGCCGTAGCTTTGTAGAAAGTTTTACTATCAGAAAGTTTGCATCTTCCAGCTTTGTTCTTTTTCAGGATTGGTTTGACTATTCAGGGTCACTTCTGTATGTAAAATTTCATATGAATTTTAAAATGGGTTTTTGTATTCCTTCAAAAGATTTCATTGAAATGTGAATGTACTTAATGCCACTGAATTCACTGAACTTGACACTTAAAAATAGCTGTGATGGTAAATTTTATGTGATATATATTTTACAATAAAAAATTTTATTGAGGGGGGAAAAGATACCCATATCCTAATCCTTGGAACCTATGAATGCTACTGCTATGGTCTGAATATTTGTGTCCCCCTCCTAAAATTTATATGTTGAAATACTAACCCCAAGTTAGAATTAGAAGCATTAGAAGGTGGAATCTTCTCAGAAGTGACTAGGTCATAAGAGCTCTGCCCTTATAATTGGGATTAGTGTCCTTATCCCAGAGAGCTAGCTAGCCCCTTCCACCATGTGAGGACACAGCGAGAAGATGCCATCTATAAATCAGGAAATGAGCCCTTAAAGGGCACCAACTCTATTAGTGCCTTGATCTTGGACTTCCTGGCCTCCAGAACTATCAGCAATACATTTCTGTTGTTTATAAGCTACCTAATCCATGGCATTTTTATAGCAGCACAAATTAAGATAATTGCCTTCTGTGGCACATTTTTAAAAATTACAGATATTAAGTTGAAGATCTTGAGATGGGATATTATCCTGAATTATCCGGGTAGGCCTTAAGTACAATCACATGTATCCTTATAAGAGAGAAGAAGAGGAAAATTTGAACCCAGAAGGAAAGGAGAAGGCAATGAGACCATGCAGGCAGACAATGGAGTGACAAGGCCACAAGCGAAGGAATGCTGGCAGCCACCAGAGTTGGAAAATACAGGGAATAGATGTTCTCCTAGAGTCTCCAGAGATAGTGTAACACTGCAAACACTGACTTTTGGTCCAGTGAAACTGATTTTTGACTTCTGGCCTGCAGAACTATGAGGGAATACATTTTTGTTGTTTTAAGTAGCCAAATTTGCAGTAATTTTTATAGTAGGCATAGGACACTAATGCAGTGACATTCACTGCAGTGGAGAACACCAAAGGAAGAAGAGGTTTTAGCATGGAGTGGAAATCAAATTTTTTATTTGGACTTTTGATTTGGGACTTTCTGTTAGGTTGTTCTTGTACTGCTATCATGAAACACCTGGGACTGGGTAGTATATAAAGAAAATAGATTTAATTGGTTCTCAGTTCTGTGGGCTGTACAGGAAGTGTGGTGCTGCCATCTGCTTGTCTTCTGATGAGCATCTCAGGAAGCTTACAGTCATGGCAGAAAGTGCAGCTTGAGCAGGCATCTCATATGGGGAGAGAGGGAGCAAGGGGCAGGAGGGTGGGGGGTGCGTGTCACATACTTTTAAGTAATCAGATCTCATGTGAACTCACTGTCATGAGGACAGCACCAAGAGGATCACTTGTGAGAAATCCGTCCCCATGATCCAATCACCTCCCACCAGGCCCCACCTCCAATATTGAGGATCAGAATTTAGCATGAGATTTAGAAGAGACAACATCCAAACTATATCAGACTTATAATTTCTGAGGTACCTATGAAACTTTTGATAAAATAAACGTGTAAAACAATAGAGCTGGATGTAATTCCCTAGGGAGAAAATATAGCAGAGAAAAGATCAGGACCTAGGCCTGAACCCTATAGTATGGGAACATTTGGAAACATAAAGAGGCTGAAGACCTCACAAAAGAGACCAGTAAGGGGCATCCAGTGGTCCTCTAAGTGTTTAATGAAATGAGGAGAGGTCAGCAGTTTTAAATGCTGTTTACAGGTCAAGTAACATTAGATTTGTCAACATAGAGGGTATTTGCTGACCTTAAAAAAGGCATTTACTGTAGAGGGAGACAGGAAACAGGACTGGATTGGTTAAAGAGACTGGGAGGTAAGAAATTGGAGACAGCATGAAGATGTCACCTTTGTAATATTGCCTGGCTTATTCAGTCACATGTGTCAGGTTACTATAACCCATACTATAATTTAGAATTTTGTATAATTGACAAAATTCCATATGACATATCTATATATTCCTTTATAGCTTGGAAAAAAGAAAACATACATGCAAGTGTAATAACCACTTGTCTGTTATTGAATGAATGTATTGAAATCGTCTAGATTATGGCCAGTGTCTCTAAAAACTGGGTATCAGGACTTTTAATCTGTATTTGAAAATCCTGTATGATCTATTTGTACCATAGTAGGTAAAATAGATTAAATACCAATGCATATATTGGGAACAAATGGTAATAATTGGTAATGAGTGTGTCACATGATAAAGAATTCCTTTTACTGTCCCCTTTCCTCAAATTTTTCTACTCCTAGAATTCAACTTCTATTGAAAAAAATTCAATCTGAGTGTAGATTGTGTATTTTTGATATTGCAGAGTAGAAACAATCACGTAAGCTGAGTTGTTTTTATGTACAAAGGATTCCTCATTGGGACATTATTGCTCATTTAAGAAAAAATAGGGAGGACATTATTTTTGTTACAAAAAATAGGCTTGAGAGCTTTTTGTGTGTGTGTAAAGATAATACAAACACAGTGTTACAATTCTGGAAAATTATTTAGTCTTCTGCCTGACATCATCATATTAGGTCCCTCTATCTCTGGATGCCAGATAAAACCTCATTTCACAAGATTTAGATTGAAACTTTTTTTTTTTAACATATGAGCATGTATATTTTGACAACTTTTTTTCATATATTTAAAAATCATGAAATGACCTAATTAAACGATTAAAATAACTGATACAGTACTTTTCATAATAGTTAAAAATTTTAAAAATATTTTCTTCATAGGTGAGTTTTCCTAAAATGAGGCAAGAGAGAGAACCCTTTTCCATTAAAAAATCAAGTCCTTTAGTATGTAGAACATTACTTCAAAAATGCCACAAGATTTCCTGATAAAATGATCATTATATATATACACATAAATTCATTTATAAATGCAACTAATACGTATATGTGTGTGTGAATGTATGTATATATGTGAAATAAATATAGTTACGGAATATATATGAATATAAATCATACCCAAATCATTCAATGAGGTTTTTGTTTTGTTTTGTTTTGTTTTTTTATCTTGGACTAACATGTGGAAGCAATTTTTACCACTCAAAAACATACAGACAACCAGATTGCTTTTGCTCCTGGGAAGTCCTTGGGAGAGAAGGAAAAATATTCCTACTTAATATGACAAAAGATAGTTCCTGGGAAGTTCAAACATAAAACTAGAAACAGATTGACTTCCTCCTCATCATAGAACTCTCAGGGCAGGGAGTTGGGCTCGTACTTGGATCTTCTCTGTGTCTGTAACACAGGTTACCTAAATAGCTATGTGCCGGCTTTTCCTCCACAACTTTGATCCTTCTTGCTCCAGCAGGTATCACCAGCACTTCTACATAACCTGTAAGGGTCAATAAAACATGAAATAAATCTTGAGTTCCTTCAAAATCTCTTTTCTTGATTGACTTGCCTTTTGTTTTCCTTTTGGTTTTGGTTATTGCTATGATATTTCACTACTTACGTAAAGAAAAATTTTTATATATAAAAGCTGTCATGATTTCCAGTGAAGTTTCTTGGAAAGATGTTGAGCCTACAGCACTATGGAGGACAAACAGGCACTTTTATTTTATGTAAAACAACAAAAAAAGCTCATTGATACCTTATGAATTGTAAGGAAAGAAAAAAACCCAGTGGAACAGCCTGGTTAGAAACACAGTGGATCGTGAAATAGAACAGAAAACCTCAGATTTTGTTGTGGGAACTTCTTTAGGTTAGAAAGTGTGGGGAAAAAGAATATATAGCTGGAGAAAATATAGCAGGCCTGGACTAAATCCCTGGAGTACTGAAGTATAGGACAAGAGAGACCAAGCATTTTCTGGAGGATATTAACAAAGGGTTTTGAAACTGATGCCGGAGACAGAAAGTGTTAGGTCACACCAAGCAGTCTAGGGTCATCTCTGAAGATGTCAGACAGCTAGACCCAAGGCAAAATTAGGTGCTTCTCAGGAAACATTTTTCAGCAGATGTTAGGGATATAATGCTTGAAGAGAAATAAGATGATAAGGTAAAGTGAGATAAGAGAAAATGCGTAGAAAAATACAGACTCAAGTTTCACTTAGTGCAGAATAGTGAGAACAGATGCCTACTTTTGCTTGAATAGTTATTTTCCAATTATATTAAAATATTGTTCTTAGTAGTTCTGTGCAGATCCATGTATCTTATAAAAGTCTACCTTCTAAGCTTTAAAAAAGGCACAAGACCTAATTCCAGAGTTGTCTCCTATTTATTAATTATTCATCTTCCTGAGAATATTTAGATATTTGGCATATACCAAAAGGTAGCATATACCCCACCTGGTGGCAGTGGCTGGAAGTAGTGCCATGTGCTTTTAGAATAGTAATTTCCATTCAAGAACACAGTTTGTTTAACTATTGAATTGCACATTTCAGCAACACTAAGCCATTCTCAGTAACACTAAACATAAAAGCACTGTCACTTTTTCACATGAACAAAATACGCAGCAATTAAAATGGAAACAAATGCATAATGGCTATTTGCACATAGAAGTCAGGTATAAGGAAGAGTAAGGGATATGTGGTGTGGTTACTGGTACTTGAATGAAATAATTCTGATGGAATGAGATGTAAGAGAGTGGCTTTATTAAAGAGAGTTTAAATGCATGCCCAGGAGAATGAATTTATCAATTTGAAACTATCGAACATTCTATAGCAAGGATCTTGGTAATTGGATCCTGGCTTCGAGAGGCTTTGTCTAACAGTGATATCCAAGATGAACAGGGATATAGTTGTGGGTGACAGTGTCAGGACACTAATGGTAAAATCCAGGAGTAGTGGAGGCTAAGGGAGAAAATCCAGAAGATACTCTGTAGAAAAAATTTTCTGAACTTAGTAACCAAAAGAAAGTGGGCATAATAAATATTGAACACAATGCTTTATTATTAGCTATGTGAGAATGGGGCATCATTTACAGGAACATGGAAGTTAAGAGAGAAATCATCTAGTTTTGGTAATAACTGAATAAAATTGGTTTTGCAATTTGTATCTAACAAAATGGTACAACACACTAGTAAAACCATCCAGTAAGAACCCTGTAACATCTGGAATCTAGAGAAAGGTCATGCTACTGACGTAGCTTTGCGAGATATCCTTACAGAATCACCAAGTTAAGGCATGGAAATAAGTGGAGAAAATCAAGAAGAAAAATCAAGGACTCAACTTTGGTGACAGTCATAGTTTTTAACAAAGTGATAAAAATAAATCGGGAAAAAAGATAGAGGAATGGGACCAGGTGCAGTGGGTCACGCCTGTAATCCCAGCACTTTGGGAGGCCGAGGCAGGCAGATCACAAGGTCAGGAGATCAAGACCATCCTGGCTAACACGGTGAAACTCCGTCTCTACTAAAAATACAAAAAATTAGCTGGGTGTGGTGGCACACGCCTGTAATCCCAGCAACTCAGGAGGCTGAGGCAGAAGAACCACTTGAACCTGGGAGGCAGAAGTTGCAGTGAGCTGAGATTGTGCCACTGTACTCCAGCCTCGGTGACAGAGTGAGACTCTGTCTCAAAAATAAAAATAAAAAAGAAAGAAGAAGAAGAAGAAGAAGGAGAAGGAGAAGGAGGACATCTGGTCTGTTTTGGGAAGTGGGACCCTATGGATGAGAATATCTCAAGAAGAATTGCTGGTGAACTGTCAAAAGCTGTATGTCAAACATGAGGCATCAAAGAGAAAGGTGGCCAAAGAGAGTCTTCTGAGTGTTCCAGTCAAGAGATAACTGTTAATCTCCAAGCAAATGAATTCAGCAAAGTGTTGGGAGCAGATGTTGAACTTCAGAATATTAAAAAAGAAGAGTAGATATAACAAAGTAGAGCTAGTATGTGCAAATTCTTATTTGAGTTTAATGGTACTCTCTGAGGTATGTTATACATTAGAGCTATAGGTATATCTAAGTTTATAGCTATATTTACAGTGATTCTCTTTTATTGAGTTGGGATGACTTAAAGGAAAGGTTAGACTGATTTAAGAAGAGAGGTAGAAAAATATTAATCAAACACATATGAAGAGGGAAAGCCAATGACTGGGAGTTAAATACTTTCAGTAAATATGCCATTTGGCACAATTAACAGTGTACTGACTTAGAAGCTTAGAAGTTGGATCATGAAGCCAGTGAAGTCAATATTGTAAATTTGATCCTCTTGTGCACTTTACACACAATAACATCCTATTTTATAACCAGAGATCCCATTTTTAATCAGCCATCTTAAAATGTTGATATCATTCTTCATCTTCACGGTAACAGTGAAGTAACAAATGCCATATTTTGAAAAACTGTATGTGCTAATCATTATTATAGTTACTTTACATAAATTATTAATTTTAAGCATAATTATAGCCTCCAAGGTGGATATTACACTTCTAATTTAATATGATGAGAAAATAAAGATAGAGGAAAAAACACACTTTCCAACACTGCATTGTCAGTAATTAGTTGACCCAAGCTTTGAACTCAGGTCTGTCTGTTTCTCCTGTTCACTTCCTGCTATAATTCACTGCAACTATTTCCTAAAATAAAAAAAAAAATAGTTAACACTAGGACTCTCCCACTGCTGTGGCAAACAACTACACACACAAAAGCTCTTACAGCATGTCCTCCTTGTACTTCATTTTCTTATACAAAGAATAAAACATTTTATGCCCATTTTTTTCTTAGTATATACTGATAACTATGCAGTTCAACAACTGGCCAATACGTAATTTGCCTTTCATTCCTCTAAAAATGTATCACTTAGCTAGGCAAATTACAATGGAAGACATGATAAAGTACTAAGAAAAAAAAACAAAAACAAAAACAAAAAAAAACCGCTTCTTGAATTTATTTTCCAGCTCCAACAAAAATGATTTAGCAAACTCTAAGTAGAGCACAGGGACTGAAAACACCCATGTGTGTCTGCACATGTGTTACTCATACAATATATTCAACGTGCGTGGCCAAACTGGACAAAGAGGGCTGCATGGCCTTTAAAAAATTCTAGGAAGTACATAGCTATAGGGATAAAATCGTCTCAAGAGAAATAAATACATTCCTGAAGTCACAAGTAGATGGTGCCTGTGATAGAATGAATAACTCCTGCAGAATTTTTAAAATAGAACGTTATACAAATTTAGCATTTCATTATTAAACTAGCAAATATTAATGGATCACATACTATGCTGATAATTACAAATATGGTGTTAAACAAAAATAGCATATTTTTTTTCTCATCGAGCTTAAGGCCTAATGGCATAGGAAAGACAAGGGAACATAAAATTATAAATGTGACTAGAGCTAAACGATATGGATACAAACATGGTAAACATCACTAAAATAGTCACTAGCCATAGGAGGTATCACTTCTGGGATCACTTCATTAAATAAATGATATTTGAACTGAGAACTACGTGATATCTAGGAATTCATCCATCAAAGCCAAGAGAAAGCTGATCGATACACATTTGGAAACGCCAGATGTGGGTGTGTGTGGCAGAGGCTGGTGGGTGGCAGTAGGGGCATGGTCAGTGTAAGCACCTGTAAGGACTGAGAGAAGGAAGAGGACCTTGGTGTGACAGGAGACTGGAGAGACAGACAGGGACAACACATGTAGACCTTAAGGTCCAAGCGAAGAATTCTGGTTTCTTCCCTGTGAGCAACGTGAAATTAACAGAGTTGTAAGGAAGAAAGTGGCCTTACTAACCTTTAATATTTGTACGATATTAGGCACTGCTGATGTTTTCCAAATAAACATGGTAGGTAAGTTTTAATATAACTTACCTACAGTGAACAAAAGTAGAAATTAAAGTGGAATAAAAAGGGGATTTGAAATAAAAATCTGGGAAAATATATATTCACATAACTACAGTCAGAATAAAAAGAGTCACTGATTTTTAATGGTATTTCTGTTTTCTATGCTTAGTGGAAATATGAAGTGTTACAATTAAATAAAGGCATCAGTGCTAAGTGTGCATCTGTATTCTGTGAACTGTTTCCAGGCATACTGAATAAATATGAAAGAATATTCTTTAAAACTCTAATATCTTTAAATTTTTTTAGTCTTTCAATTTTTTTTTGAATTTCTGCACTATAAAAAAAAACTTCTGCCATCACAATCAGGTGGAAAAAGCTTATTATAATTACATTTCCTAGTTGAAAGTCTGAGAGCCTGTTTCAGCTAAGTATTTGTTTATTTATTTTTTCTAAATGAGTGCTGGCAGATTTTTGATGTTTGAGACCTATCACCTTTTTCACCACTTTGAAGACTGCGAGTTTGATCTGCAATTTACCATAGGCCCTACTCATTTCCGGGCTTTAAGATGTTCAGGCTCACTTATCTTTTATTCTGTTTAGGCCTAGCAAACAATTTGCATTCATACTTTAGAAGACTGTGACTAATTTTCTTTTCTGAAGGACTGTTTTATCTAGAATGAACTGTTTTCTCGATTACTCAAACATAAATGGCCTGTTCTTTGTATTAAAATTAATTCATGTATTAGGCTCAGAATTCTTGTTCTTTTCAAAAAGAAATTTAAACTAGGAAAATGTTGGTATATTTAATATAAGCATATTAATGATGAAAACAGCATATTTAGAGTGGGCACAGTGGCTCATGTCTATAATCTCAGCACTTTGGGATGCCAAGGTAGGAGGACTGCTTGAGCCCAGGAGTTGAGACAAATCTATGGAACATAGTGAGACCCATCTTTACAAAAAACAAAATTAAAAAAAAAAATTAGCTGGGCCTGGTGGTGCATGCCTCTAGTCCCAGCTACTTGGGAGACTGAGTTAGGAGGATTGCTTGAGCATGGGATGTTAAGGCTACAGTGAGCCATGCACCACTGCACTCCAACCTGAGCAACAGAGTGACATGCTGTCTCAAAAAGTACAGTATAATTTTAAAAAGAAAAGAGTATATTTGACATAAGCATATCAATCATGAAAATAGATACCAATATTAAGGGTACAAGACACATGCCCAGGTAACAGACTAATGTAAACACAGAAAATGTTTGCTGCTTTCCAGTAAGCTTAAGATCCTGAGTATAAAGCATTTTCTGTACATAAACCACATTTTGGGATCATTATATTTCAGTAAAGACAATATCATATTTTGTTGTAAATTACCTTAAACGTATACTATGTAGATCATTCATAATTTTAATCTCACATTCCCTGAGTATTAGTATTTATAGATGAGAAAACAAGAGAGGATGAACTCTGCTGTTAAATCTATTTGGAACATTATCTCACATCTTCTGACTCCTCTTGGTTGTATGCTACACTGTCATGGACCCTCTGTTTCCAAAAATGTACTCCCTGATAATGTAGCAAAAACATTAAGAAAAAAATAAAGATGGAAAGCTGAAAATCTCAACATTACTATTCTCAATGGTTGCTTTAGGCTGTTACAAATCATTATTTTCCAGTAGACATCATTCTTTGCATTGGAGAATAAGGTCTGTAGAAACCTGATAACATTAGCCAATGCAAATTAGATTATTCCCTTGCTCTTCTAACTTATTAAATGTACAACAGATGACTTCATATTTTCATTATTGGGAGATGGGCTTGTTAGGATTTTTGGCTCATATCACATGTATTGTATGTCATCACAAAAATCATTTAATACCCATTGCAAGTCTTCAATAGAATTAGAACTATAATCTCTTAAGTTAAATTCAATGTAATTTGTGTCCCCAAAGATTGCAGGGATTAATATTTATGAAAAAATAAAGAAAAATTACCTGCTCCTCTGGTGTGATTAAAATCCCCTTTAATGATCTTGCATGATTTTCCATTGCCATTGCATATACCACAATGATCTTCCCTTGCAAGAGACCCTAATAAACCATCACAGCCAACTTTCTGTAACAAGAGAATGATAGCACATCATAAATAGAGGTATTCTTTTTTGTTTTACTACTAATTTGGGACATAGTCTCTATAAACCAGATATATTTAATTGTAAAACTTATAAAATGTCATATTATAAAATGTCATATTCTCTGGTGCAAGCTAATACAACAAGCCAATGTCAAATAACATAATCTGTAAAATTACCTAGGTAGTGATGACAGCTAACCTACCTACATACCTTCCTCTCTCTTTCTCTCTTTCTTCCTTTCTATCTATCTTTCTATCTTTCTTTTTCTTTCAGATGGGGTCTGGTTCTGTCACCTAGGCTGGAGGGCAGAGGCTCCATCTCGGCTCACTGCAACCTCTGCCTCCCAGGCTGAAGCCAGCCTCCCACCTCAGCCTCCCAAGTAGCTGGGACTACAGGCATGTGTCACCATGCTGGATTAATTTTTGTGTTTTTTTGTAGAGACAAGGTTTCAACATGTTGCTCACGCTGGTCTTGAAATCCTGAGCTCAAGTAATCTGCCTGCCTTGGCCTCCCAAAGTATTAGGATGATAGGTGTGAGCCACTCTGACCAGCATAGAGTATCTTTTATAGTAAGTATTAAATTACACCATAAAGTAATTTGGAAAAAATATTATTGAGAAAAATGTAATGTACATAAGTCCCAAAGGAAATCACATTTCTGTTAAATGCAACATGATTAGTTTAATTCCTTCTACTCAACAAAGAACAGATATACTTCACTATATGGATGGCTTAACTTTTAAAGTGACTGTAAAGTAAGTGCTAAATGGTAAATATTAACTTTCTGGAAAACTAAGCATAGCTGTTTATTTTTACTACAGTTCATAAATCAACTGTAGTTTATTTTATCCCTATCTCCTTTGGCAGCTAGCACATGAATGTGAGTAAGAACTCCTCACAACCCATGGTTGCTTTAAGAAAACACGAACAGTTGGGGAATTAATTTTTATAAGCTCCCAGAAGAATTTTGTTAATATGAATCTTCTAAGGCCCAATCAATTGCCTCTTTTCTTGTAAATAATGTTTGCTTCCAATTGATGAGCCAAAGTTGTACATACTCAAAGGGCAGAATTTAGTATGTCAGTACTGTCAGAAATAAATGGTAGTATTACACAATTCCTCCTAATCAAGATGGATTTGGAACAGAGACTGATGATACATCCATTTATAATAGGTTCCAATTATTTTCAGGAAATTTTAAAATATTAAATGCAACGGAAAGAAAAACAGAATCTTTGTGACTGGTGCTGCTGGTGTTGGGGTGGGGGAAGCTAGCAGATTATTAAATGCAGCTGCAGGATGGATATGCTGGGAGCAAAAGTCACATTAAAACTGCACAATACAGCATTCCTTCTTTTTGTCAAGGGGGTCCTATCAGTGTCAAGAGGTACAAAATGTTAGCACAGAACTCTGATCAGCAAGTCAAAGCTTATTCAGGGAGAAATAAAGAGAATGTCTAGATGAAAGAAGTAGCCACAGGAAATGCTCAGAACACAACCAAGTATGTGAAGAGAACATTAAGCAGGAGCCTGAACTGGGAGTCCTGGGTTGAGAAGAAAAGTCTCTCCATGTTCAAATGGGGAAAAAGTTGAGGAGAGCTGGAGTGTTTTTGAAATGATAAAAGTATCTTTATTGCTCTATCCATGGTACCCAGATTGCCTCTTGGCAAATGGTGAGAATACAGTAAATAATAGTTCAACTACGAAATAAGTTGGTACTTAGCAGTTTCTTAGTTTTTCCCAATCTTTTAACTAGGATATTACAAGGTCTGTAAATCCAAAGTAAAAGTAAGGAATAGACATATATACTACAGGTCAATAATCATATATTTTTTAAAAAAAAGATAAATATTTTGTATCTTATAATTGGTAGCTTTAAGTATCCACACATATCAAAATATGCTCACATAAATCCAAAAGTTGAAGATGAACTACTTTGAAGAGGCAGTGCCACATCACTGGTAGCAAGTACCTGAGGTACCACTGGTGTGTGGGAGATACGCAAATAACATGATCATACAGGCTCCAGCCTTCCTTATCGTTTTCAGTAAGAGAAATGTCACAGAACCAAAATGGGTCACCAGAGAAAGTTGTCTGCCTTCAATTGCCTTTCATTCACTATGTCTGTAATGCTGTATTCAGCTTTGGTGCTATATATTCAGTGATAAAAACACTCTACTCAAACCCCCAATTGCTAAGGGTTGTCAGAAAAACTAAAGAGGCATGTTTTCAATTTTATTGAAAGACTAAATGAAGCATTTTAATTAAAAAGCCAGAATCTTGAAGTGTTTTAATGCCATTATAAGTCACAATCCATTTCAAACAATTCTAATTTAATTATAATCATCAGGTCCACATAGTATTTGTGCAAAATCTTTGTTGTTTTTGCTGTAATTTTAATTTTTACCCAGGGACTTTGTAAAAGATTTGGCTTATACAATACTGTTAAGTAAAAAGCATAGCAATTTAGGCTATTATGTTTGACATACACAATTTAAAAAATAAATTCATTTAAGACATACAATAATCTAATAGATTTACATATAATGATGAGATGAAGGCTTCAATAGTAGAGCATATCTGAAAACAAAATATGTATAGGTAAAACATCTTTAAATTATATAAATCAAATAAAATATAGATATTTTTTAATGAAAAACTACATTTTGGTAATTGCCATATTCTGTTAAAGAATAAAAGAAATTAATATATAGTCAAAAGACTGCTTCTTATGCCAATGGTTTTACATGATTCTATGCTTTAAACCTTATAGCCTACTGGCAAAATACAGAATCTCAGAGCTGGGAAAGCATTTAAGTTTTGTGTTGTTCCCAGCTTCTTACCCAGAAGTGCATATGCTTCTATTGGACCATGGATTGATCCATTCATTGCTTGAAATTGTTTTCAATTTTTGGCATTTGTGTGCATGTATATGTATATGTGTATGTGTGTATTCAGTTGTACATTTTTCTGAGGAAAAAGAAGTTCATCAAATTCTCAAAGGAGTGTATATAGCACAAAGTCAATGACCAATGGTCTACCAAATTTATTTTATAGATTAATTAATGCATGCAAATATATTTTAAGTGATTTGCCCAGTAACAGTTTCCTAAAGGCTGTCATGGACTCAGTGCCACTCCACTCAGCAACCTCTTTCATTGCTAAAGGATTTATTTTTCTCCTGCTTCTGGAAGGTTTATCAGAAACTATCTAGACTAAGGAAACCTGCTTTCCCCAAGGTCGTAGCCACTTCCTGGGGCAGCTTGTATCCAAACAATAGTAGATGCTGAGAGTTAATGGTCTGATTTTCTCACCCAAAATGGTAACAACCCTCAAGCCCCATGCCAGTTTAAGTGCTTCCCACGGGGTCAGCTAAGGTCTTGTGACTGCACCAGAGCCTGATTTCACCATGTGCCCAAACCTGCCTCTTCCTTATCTCCACATAGATGATGATCATGAAAACACTTGGCATTAAACTTTGCACATATTGATCTTCCAGGGAATGTTAACTTGAGACAGTGGGAGAACCATGACTAGCAACTGCTCACTTCTACACTTTGATCTCTCCACTATGCTCTTCATAATCACTTTAACAGGAATTCTATTTTTTCTAAACATAGATGAAAAACACACACATGCATGTAAATGGAAATTTTTTAAAAGAAAGAGAAAAGCAAATAAAATGTTTATTATAAGAAAGTTGAATATGCATTTAAAAATCATCTGATTCAAGTATATTGAGGATACTTGAATATGAGTTATAAGGTCAATTTTATTGATTTTTGCCTCATGGCTCAGTCTTAGACACAAGGCATGGAGAACTAGAGTGCCTGAATTTTTGGTCTGAAATATTTTGATATAAAATGTCCAAAGTGCTCCAAGTTTAAACCTGAAATATGTATATTACACAATCAAAATCTCAGATTCTTTCAGTTAGTAATAGATTTTATGGAGTACCAAGTCAAACGCATCATTACACACATGAAAAAATGAGGTTTCAAAGTAAATCAGACTTGCTCAAGGTCATAGTCAAGGCAGGACTATAGCAATATCTTTTGAATCTTAGTCCAAAGCTTTCAACCATACTGTGAAGTTGCTCAATGGTCCCACAATTTTCCTTCAACATATAAATTCTTCTTTTTGGAATGTCTTACCTGGCACCTGCCATTTGCACAGATATCTAATCCCTGATACCCACAAGAAGTTCCATCCATCACTTTTTCTGATAGAAGAATAGGCTGTTCTTTTCCAACGGGAGAGCAAAACAAGGCACATGGCTTTTCTACATACAGAATGGATAAAAAGAAATGAGAAAAAGTTACTGCATACATATTTTTATCTTAAGCTTCATTTGTCAGAATGGTTATTGAGTAAAAAATATAATTCAATGCTAATTAAGTAATGTAATATTGGAGTAGATAACATTAGAAGATTTCTATGTGTAATGCATTAGGTGCCTGGAGATGTTCAATGAATATTAATCCTCTAAGAAATCTGGCTTCAAATTACCTTAAAATGTATCATTTGTTATTTTATGGCTCAACATATCTAGCACACACAATCCAGACCTCCTCCCTGAATAATAATTGGCACACCCCAATTTTATGATCATATTTTTTTGAAATGATATCCTCTTCAACTTTAGTAGGCACCAGGATTCTACCTATCTTTAAGTCGTGGTTAAGATTTACTTCATGCTTGAATTATTTCTTGATGTCTTACTTCTAAATTTCAATGCGCTAATTTTTATTTCTACAAAGTTGACATTTGCTAATTGAAAAAATGTCTAAAGGGAGAAACAGGAGCCTCTAAGATGAGAATTCTCATGAAATTTTCTATTACTGGGATTGTAGTAACAATTGCATTTGTAAAAAACATTTCTGTTACTAGGATTGTTACTACACTGCAACAGAAATATTGTTCTGAAATGCAATACCATCCCATGAGAGCATCCATAGTTATGTGCAACTGCTGATGTGCTTGGGAGAACTCTGTCCCCTTCACCACTTATGCAGAAACCATGTCGTTGTATACAATATCTAGGTTGAGAACCATAAACCCAGGTAAATAATTCCCAAACAGCTGCCAGTCTTCATAGTGCCTCATTCAGCAATGAGATAGGATGTTTGGGGTTAAAACACTTGCCTTTTAGGCTCAGAATGTGGCACGATATTTTTAAAGTGTTGTGTCCATTTCTAAGCCTCCTACAGAAGAGCTGTAGTATTTGGTAACACCACTAATACTATTATCCAAATCTGAAACCTCAGAGCAATTTCCATGCTACATTACTACTCTATTGGCTTGACACCAGTCAGGTCCTTTACTGTTTATTAAGCTTATATAAATAGAATGGAAAAAAGTTTACGGTCTCTGACACTGATCTTCCCTTATGTCTTCAGTAAAGTTCCACGTATGCTGATGGGATTCTATAAATACCAAATAACAGCCAGAGGCAAGGAACAGGGTATCACTTTGCAAAGAGAAGACAGACAGTTAAATGAGCCTTCAGAAGTGAACATTTCAAACAGTTTTCACATGTGGCTTCTGAATACTGTTCTCAACAATTTTGGGGAGTTGGAACATGGCCTTTAATGTGCATGGTTTTGAAATTTTCCTTTAAGATGCCATTATAAGCTGCAATAAAGCATTTCAGTGTGCTCTCACACCTCAAAGTAGGTTATGTTTATTCAATGACTGCTTACTATGTCATATCTTTGAACTTAAAAACAGCTGCTATAATTGCAACACTTTAAAAGTGGTATATATAATGCTCTTTCTGTAGTTTTCATTGAAGAGAAGAGCAAACCAGATATATGAATAAATAATATTGAAAGGAGTTAGTCTCCTAGAAAATTCCATTAATATTTCAAGCAAAAATTCAGATAAAAATCTTTGTATTTCTCCTTTTATAACATATTACAAATACACTCTGCTGACTTCAGCTGTACAGATGACATAAACATTTGATACCACTCTTCATTTTTGGAGTATGCCCTCAAGGCTGTGACATTGTAGTGATCCATGTAACATGCCATACTTGGCAGGCAGGCTCTGTCTTGATTTAAGAGACCAGCTGTTTCCAAGATATGCATTAGACATGGATTTCAGCCAAATTTTGGCACACACAAAGTATGTGAAATACCTGAATGTTGAAGCCACGCATGTCTTTTCTCTAAAAATAAATGTTCACTGCTGCATTGCTACCCCACATTTAATTCTCCTAGGCAGGGATCCGTGTATTATATAACAGATATAGCCGCTTGTATTTTAAGGTGTCACATGTTATTAAGACGATGTTTTTTAAAGAATTGTATATTTCCATTTCTTCCATAGTGCTGTAATACATGTAGGCTAGTGACTGTTGTATATTTTATCTGAAATACAGACTGATGAGTTTGATTGATACGTGTTGCAAAATCATCACAAATGGTATCCTGCTGATTATACAAATAGCTATTATGGATTATTTGATGATATAAATCACTTTATAAGAGTCAGGAGTCCCTTTAATTGTGATTTCTAACAGCTTTAGTGTTTTAAATTGATGCACATCCAACTCTGATTTTCTTTTAATTTGGAGAACACCTATTTTCTGTATCTTATTTCACCCATAATTAAATGGGTTTCAAATAAACTTGACATTATTAACTGTCACAGCCAGTTGGAAGTAGAAACAGGATTAAGACTCAAATAATCAGAAAATTTTCATGATGTGAACAGTCATATTGATTATATTGTTACAATAAAAAGTTACTGGCTATGTATTCAAATTTATTTAACAAATATTCATTGGACACTTAATATACAATAGATGATACACTAGGGACAGACATTAGGGGGAATGCAGACACAATAAAATGTGCTATTACAGGTTGTGTGTGTGGTACTTGGAAGGCACACATAATTTGGAGGATCAGAGGGATTCTTTCTTCCTAGAGGAATTGACATACACTGAGTCCCAAAAATCAGCAGACGTATTCAAGGTAAATAAATAAACACCAATGTCAAAGCTTGAGAAGGAAAGCTTATTTTGCCAAAACCCAGCTGGTATAAAGGCCCAAAAATAAAAGAGCAGATGTATCTAAGGGGTGGAATGGAAGTCAGCCTGGCCATATAGGAGTCTACAAAAGAGAATGATGGAGATGAGGCAGGAGAAATTAAAGGGGGCAGGCCATAGAAATATCCTTATAAACCAGGTGATCAAGTTTGTGCAACTGAAAAGCAAGTGTTACCTTCAACGAGATGGGACACACTAGAGGATCAAATGGACATGAATAGGAAGGGTTATGATCTTGAGTTTGGTCTTAAACCTGCAAATATCCAATTAGATATATCAACGAGGGGAGTTGTACGTACAAGTTTGGAGCTCAAATGGAAAATCTAGTTGAAGATGTAAACTCATGTATTATTTACATATTTGAAGTAATGGGAACAGATAAGATCACCTAAAAAGAAAATGCAGAGTGAAAACAGAATAGTGATTGAAGTAGGCAGAAGGAGAACACGCCAGAGATGTAGCAGGAAAGCCAGGTCAGTGTTACAACACAGAAACCAAGCAAGGCACACGAGTGTTCCAAGAATCACGGGGGTGGGCAGCCACCTTAATGTATTTAAGAGTCAACTAAGAAGAGGATGGGAAACTATTTATTAGGTTTCATTTCCATGAGACTCCTGGATGACATTAGAAAGACTTGTGTTGGTGGAATCCAGATTGAAGGGAAGAAAACAGGGCTGGGATACAGGCAGGTCTTTTGAGAAGGGTGTCTGTGAGGAGAGAAATGTGTAGGTGCACCAGCGCAAAATGACTATGATCTTGAGGGGAAGTTTTTATGTTTTAGTGGGAGAGTCTTAAATATGTTAAAAAATTAAATGTGAATGATCCAAAACAGAGAAGATTAACTAGATGAGAGAAAGTAGGGGTAATCAATAAGATAACTGAAAAGGGAAGATGGGGATGGTATCAAGGCCACAACTGGAGGGACTGGCCTTGGAAAGAAGGAATTAAAATTCTGCCATATAGCAGAAAGCAGATGAAGTATCCTAAGTTAGGCTAACGTGTTTTGATAGCAGAAAATAAGGAGGTAATCAATCTGATGGCTGCTATATTTCCTCCCACCACCACTAGTAGAGGAATAATCTGCCCCATTGTTTGGCTGTTTCCATTACTGCTTATATGTAGGTGCTATTCTGAGAAAAGGGTTTCATCAGATGGGGGCACTGAAATGGACAGCCAATGGAGTTTAGGTTATTGAGAAGAATCTAATTGGAATGATGGAAAGCAAAGTTCAAATTGACTAAGGGGAGAAAAGAGAGACTAGTGGCATCATAAACAATGAAATCAGATAATCTGTCACCACTTTTGGTAACTGCAACTCAGCCCACACCCACAGCCCACTCACCACGGGCAAGTATTATCATTTTTTTTTGATACAGGTACAACTTTACCCAGGCTAGAGTAAAGTGGCACCATTTTGGCTCACTGTTACCTCTGCCTCGAGGTTTGCCTCAGCTTCCTGAGTAGCTGGGACTATAGATACATGCCACAACACCCAGCCAATTTTCTTTTTCTGTATTTTTGGTAGAGACAGGGTTTCGGCATATTGCCCAGGCCAGTTACAAACTCTTGACCTCAAGCAATCTGCTTGCCTTGGCCTCCCAAAATGGTGAGATTATAGATGTGAGTCAACTAGCTTGGCATATCATTCTTAACTAATAAGGCAGCATACAGTTTTCTTAAAATTCTTATTTTGAAATAATCAAATATTTAGAGTAACTTGCAGACATAGTACAGAGAGTTCCCACATACCTTTCACTCAGTTTCCCCTCCATGGTTATACCTTAGTAACTATAGAACCACAGCAAACCCAGGAAACTGGCATTGGTACCTGTGTGTGTATAGTTCTACGCCATTTTATGACATTTGTAGATTTGTTCAACCACTGCCGCAATCAAGGTCTGAAACTATGCATCAGCACAAAGATCTTCCTCATGCTACCTCTTTATAGTAATACCCATCCCTCTCCGCACCACCATGCCTAATCCCTGGCAACCACTAATTTGTACAAATTTGTTTTCCATCTCTGTAATTTTATCAACTCAAGAATATTATCACATGAAATCATATAGCATGGGACCTTTTGAGGTTGGCATTTTTCACTCAGCATAATGCTCTGAGATCTATCAGGATGTTGCATGTATTAATCGTTTGCTCCTCTTTAGTGCTGAGGAGTATTCCATCACTCAGAAGTATGATTTCTATATTGTTAGTGTACATTTAGTTATTCACAAAACTGTCAAACTATATTTTCCAAAGTGGCTGCACGATTTTACAATCCCACCAAGCAATGCCTGAGAAATCCAGTTTCTCCTCATCCTCACCAGCGTTACTGCTGTCACTGCTTTTTATTTTCATTGTTCTAATAGGTATGGGGTAACAGTGCCTCATATTTTTAAAATATATTTTTGTCAGTGCTTGTGGTTATTATATGTCAGTACAGGCAGAAAAAAATAAAGTTTAGAAATATTTTGAAGATAATATGTACAATAATCTGACTATTATAAAAACACTTGGCAAACCTAGAAATCTAGTTAACAAAGATGGTGGTGATCTGGTTGGTCATACCTTCATCCAGGACAGCTTGCCACTGAAGTACATGCTTTGGGGAGGAAGTTCTAACACTATACGCCTGACATTGCCAGTCTCTGAATCCAGGCAAACCTGCAGGACAAGGTGGATTCTCACATATTCTGTATTGTTTTCTGGGACCATTACAATCCCTTGCTTCAGAACCTAGCCTAGAAAAGAAAGTACAAATAATCAGTTTTACATTTTTTATGTTAACTACCCAGTTTTTAAATTAAAAGCCACTATATTAATAATATATAACCCTTTATATTATATTTACTTTTGAAAACTTGGACACATTAAATGTTAGTAGTAGCAAGATATATTTATTTCTTTGACTATATACATTTTCTAACCCTTGATCAATATACCTTCCACAATACATGAGGAATAAAAGCCCACTTGCCATGAAAATGATAAATTGTAGTAAAGGGCAGAGACTGAGGGGAATATAGCCTTCAAATGCCCATTAAGAAATCTGGTTCTTAGAATTATTAAGGAGATGTTTTTAAATAAGTTCATATAAATTATTTAAAACTGCATGTGACCTCTACACCAATAGTTTAAAGCTCACAAGCTGGAATGACTTTCTCACACTTTCCTAGAATTCCTCTAGGAATAATGGGGTTTAACAAGCTGATCCCATAATAATTCCTGTCTGTACCTGTGCTTAGCATGTTTCTGTTTTTCATTAGTCTTAGCTCTTGCTGTCATTAATTTTGTTCTCATTCTCTTTCTTATCATCCTTCTGCTCTTCTCCCAGTTCCTGTAAATGTTCACATAATTTTTCTAATACACATCTCCCTGTTTATTGAAATATTTTATAGATTTACTCAAGAAATAACCTTTTGTAGCTTTCATTATTTATTCTTAGAAGGGTTGGTCTTTATTTTCTTCTTAAAGGCAGTTTTTATTTAAAATAAATAATTTGAAGGACTTTTCTGTTTTCCAACATGAGTAGAGTTTGAGGGGCTTCTTTTGCTTTCCAACATGCTTTGTCAGTAAAACCTTTGCATTCCAAACTTGAAGAAATGCCCTCCCCCAACCAGGAACTTTGAGTTTACCCAGGACATTTGCGCTCTCGACTGCTGATCCCAGCACTGCAGGTTCGGCTACAAGGACTCCACAGGCTCCACTCTCCGGCCAGATGTTCAGGTGCTGAGGTCCTGCTGGTACATTCTCCAGCCTTACACCACTATTCCAAAAGTTATGTCTTAGGTGAACAAATCAGGGCACAACTGAAAATCATTCTCTGGCCTAAAATGTCACTGGAATTGCAATTAAATCAGGTCTACTAGAGCCACAAACACGGGGAATTAGGAAAGACCAAAAGTAAGTTGGCACTTGTTTTTTTGTCATAGTAATATAATTGCCCAATTCTCACAGATACAGTCTCGTCGGGAAAGCAGTGCACAAATATTTGTTATTATAGTACTAAGAATTCAGTTCCTGTGATGGAGATAGGGTAGTGGGTAGGGAATCCGAGGTTGCACAACCAGGAAAGAAAATTCAACACATTTAAGAAACAGATAATAATTTAAAGGGACAAAAAATCAGAGTAATAAGAATGGAAACAAGAAATAAATGTCCTACGTCAAAGCAGACATTTTTAGCGAATTTAGTAATTTTCATACGAAATGTCAGTGACTCGGTACTTTTTTAACTTTGCAATTTTTTAAAAATACTGTTTGATTTTAGCACTTTCCTTTATGCTTTTTTTTATTTTTTTATTTTTTATTTTTCCCTGAAAGAATTCCCATCAACTTCAATCATTAACATTATAGCAAGTTGGTTTGAAAGACGTGGGCAATTAGATGCTGAAATTCTGTCATTTCATGCCAATTATTCTGTACTTTACTTGGTATCTATTAACTGGCAAAGATAACTGGAATAAAAGAAAGGAGTGTAGTCATTCTCTTTTTTATTTTTATTTTATTTTTTCATTCACTGAAAACAAAAGCAGTGAGAGAGATTGCTGATGGTCACCCAGGAATGGTTGCTAGAATTTGGGGAACAGGTTATTAAAATTTCTCCTCATTCCTGAAAATCAAATAGATGATGGTCATAGCAAACATGGTAAAAGTAACAAAATCATATTGAGAATAATAAGTATGATTACAAGCATTTAGATTAGTGATTGTATAATGATGCAGTTGAGTAAGTTGATCCTCCTAGCCCTAAAGGAACTTCTACACTTAATGGCAACACAATTTACAAAGGATTTTGAGGAAATTACAGAAATGCTCTGATTTTCAGCTTGCTTATTTCTAAAATGTGAATGATAATCATATTTACCTATCAGTTTATTTAGGAGTTGAATGAAGCATTAAACACAATGTATAGCCCTTACTAAGGATTTAATAAGGGCTAACTATAACAATAATAGAGTTATAAGTATCATTATGTTAATACTTTCAGAATTCTAAGCAAAATTCTGTTCATTCTGATATTTATTCATCTGTTTTTATAATTTACTGTGAAAATATTTTTATTGCTATTTTTAGAAAGGAGAATTAAGAAGACTACACTATATAGTTTTGTGTGGGCTCCATTAATGCCTTACTTTTATAGGCAATACAATGATTAGTTCCCATAGATTTTCTCTAACAATGTCAACATTTAAATTCAACCTCTTTTAGATTCAAAAAGATTTTAATCTAAACTTGAAAAACAAAATAAACATCAACAACTCAGAGAATATCAATATGCTAAGGCTCTCATTAAATAAATTTGGGTTTTGTACAAAGATGCAGTTTAAAAATTGGAAAAGGAGAAACAAACCATGTGAAAACTTCTACATTACTTACTTGTTTTAAGGACTTAAAAATGTTATGCCATTCATGGAAAAAAAAAATCCAATGTGAAAGTCGTCAAACTTCAATTGGTCACATTGTTTTAGCCTACTTTAAGGGTGTTTATGTTTCCCAGGGTGCATATCATACCTCGTTGGCCATTTAGCAGCAAGCTGGCATTGAAAGACTGGGCTAGAGTTCACAGCAGACTAAAATATTCTGGAAAGGACTGGGACCTAGATTTGTACATCATTTAAACTGTAACACATCTGGCAGATGAAGAGAAATGGACACCGATATGCAAAGCAGTTTGCATACACAGATCAGTGAAATTTGAAGAAAGTATAGCACAATATTTAAAGTTTGTCACCTTGCAGATAACCAGATGTCTGGATGAAACTAGAGGGTATCTGCTTTTGTGTCTTCTATATGGTTCTGTGCTTCAACAATGAGGAAAGTGTTAAATGTTCTGTTTATTATACAGTATGTTATATAAGATATGTAAAATAATCCTAATGATGCTTTCCATAAATATCATTAGGGTTATTACGGAGAGCAGCATGATTTGTTTCATACAACATTTGCATTTTTTAGCCTCAAAAAATAAGTTATGTATTGTTGAAAACGCTAAAAAATTGTCTTATCTATTAATTCAGTCTGATTTATAAAAGTACTAAGGAATTATGTAATATAGACCACCTGAGGACAGTGCATGACCTAACAGACTAATTATAGTTCTATACTCCCAAATTTTTATGTGGACATGTCTAGGAAGTTCATGAAAACACACATTTGAAAGGGGTCTGTGAAGATGTCAAAGGAGTCTGATCAGCCTCTGATCAAATCTTGTACATATATTGTGGAAAAGAGAAGCGGAGGAAGGAAGGAAGGCAAAAAGCTGTGTACATATGCACATTGTGATATATTAGGATATTACAGTCTTTATTGTTTCCAATAATAAATTATGATGGCAATTTCAAGAATCTCAATGAGGGAAAATAAATAACTAAAATATATTACATAGAATCCTTCCAAACAGTCTAAAGTTCTAATAAATTGGTGTTTAATGTCTCTTTCCCCTCTTTTCATTCCTAGCAAGTACTGAAAGTAAAATACATACATTTATTATTGTTTAATAAATCATTTTGCCCACTAATCTCTGTGAAATGTAAATGCCCACATATTGATATTTGTATTGTAAGTTGCAAAATATGAAAATTATATTAAAAATATAAAAAGAGAAGAAAAGAAGTTGTTTTCAATTTGCAATATGCTGTCCATAAAGAGTATATAAGCCTCTTTGTTAAAACTCATTCAGAAGTATAGAATTCTGTAAGCACCTTCTCAGATGTAATATATACTCTTAGATTAACTAGATTTATACAATTTGATTAATATCACTAGAGTGTTATCAATTGCAAAATCCCAAGCTTTGTCTCTTGGATAGCAATGTACTGAACTAACAATGTTTAGTGCGAGGTTGCAAGCATTCAAATATTTTAGCACTCCTGCACACAATGGCAGAGTGTTGGAAGCTATTTTCACGATGGCTTCTACAAGAGCTGGAAGAGATGAGTATTTGAAGAAGCCCACAAGACCTGGAAAACTGAGAGGTTCATTAGTTATTTCAAAATACAAAGCATTACAGAACCCCTAAGAGTATCATTAACACAATTATAGGAAAACAAAACATTTTACTTTTGTTTAGTAATTATAGTTTTAACTGCCAAAATAAGTTTATTTTGAAGATTTCAAGAAGGCAAATTATGTTCATACACACAAGGGAAAAAATCATAGCAGAAAAATATTGAAGGTGCCAGATCATGAAAATAAAGAGATTTTTATATTGCTAAAAAACTAAAGATGAACAAGTTATGTGATGGTTGAGGACTCATGTTTGGTTATCTCTTAATATTACTGCTTTTGTGTTTCAGGGATGATAAAAATGATTGCTGGTGCAAAGTTTTATGATTCAAGCAATAAATTACTCAGCACAATATCAGGAGGCTTGCTTGATATACACAGGTTCTTGTACTTTTGTGTATATATTTAAAAAATAAAACAGACCCAAATTCTGATGTTTTGTTTAAGCTTATAGGAAATATTTGGAACAGTCTGTAAACAATTAACTGATATTTCACAGAAATTCCCTCTAAGGAATCAGTTTCTTACTGATAATATATAGTGATAAAATATTTCTAGTTTTTTTTTCAAAAATAGTTGGGATGTAAACAATTTTTACATTTTTCTTTTCTAATTAAAGAAATCATAGAAGTAATAAATGACTGCATGCTTATGTCAAACAATCCAGAAATGTCTGCAGAAAAGTTATATTCACCCATCTCATCGATATACTCCCAGCCATCAATTCTACTTCCCTCCTAAGAGGTAACTTCTAGTTACACTTTGGAGTTTTGTGTTTATATCTTCTTTTTCTTTTTTTTTTTTTTTTCTGTCTTTGAAACAAGGTCTGGCTCTGTCGCCCAGGCAGGAGTGCAATGGTGCTGTCTCGGCTCACTGCAACCTCTGCCTTCCGGGCTCAAGCAATCCTTCCACCTCAGCCTTCTGAGTAGCTGGAATTACAGGCCTGCGCCACCATGCCTAGCTAATTTTATGAGTTTGAAAATATATACTTCTGTGTGTGTGTGCTTGTGTGTGTGTATACAAACTGTGTTTTCCTTAAATGTCAAATCATATTATAAAGTATCAATATTTCTGACATGCCTATCAACCAACAGCCATGTCTTATAGATCTCTTCAGGTTAGAACATAGGTATCTCCCTCATTTTTTAACAACTACATTGTGACCGTTCATCTCCTAATGAATATTTTTATTGTTTCTCATTTCTCTCCATTACAAACTGCATCCTTACCTAAGCATCTTTGTGTGCATGTGTATGTGTATATATGTGCGTCTGTGTGTGTACTTTCTTCAGATGATTTTCTAGAAGTTGAATACCTTCATTTCTGTCCATTTTTCAAATCAATGTTTTTAAAATAAAATTCCACATAATTTCATGTTTTCTTCAAGTATTTCACCATAAGCAATCTATAGGTTCTTTGTGTTGCTATTTATTTTCAAATGTAATACACATTCATGCACTTCAGAGGCAAGCTTTCTGATCTTGCAATTGAGTACAGTGATAACAATTCTACTTTCCCATCACAGTATGCAAATTAGAAAATTATGTAAACTATTGATCTGTTATCTTTTGATTATGTTAACCATAATTATTAAATGCATATGAAATCCATCTTCTTCATATTCCTCAAAGGAAAATTACTTTTTAACAGCAGTTATTTTGATCTGGAAATGTATACTAATAAATTTTTAAAGTCTTATGAAGTACGTTAAACTACACAGACAGCCAAATATTTACTAATCTCCAAATGTCAACTGGAATATTTTATGGATGATTATTATATTGACAAGGAAAAAATACTCAGTTGCTCTCCTAAGTCAATGATTTTATACTTGAAAGGATTCATCGGCGATGAGAAATTTTACCATTTATGCTATTATTTGTGCTTAATTTACTTCTGTTTAAAAAGTAAAAAAAGTTCACATTTTTGCTATATTAATGTATATATATGACTCTCAACATTTTCATAATCAACAACAAATAAAATAAAACCCCACCACATTGATATTAACAAAACAACCACAGATTTTATAAAGTATAAATGTTAAAATTGATGAAATATTAATATTTTTGTATATACTGAAATAAATCCATCAGTGCTAAGCAAGTTTCTCAAGTTTCACCTACGATACTTATTAAATTCAGACAACATAAATGACTTACCTTACCAGGGTCACAGTCAGTTCCATCCATTGGTGGGTCTAGTTTGGTTTTGCATTCTTTCTCACCTTCTACCTTGCACCATAATCCTGTGCAAATAACATGCTGAAAACAAAGGCACACTATAAGGGGAAGGTATCACATTTTTTTAAGTGAAGCCAATCACTGTTAAGAAAGCTATTTTGGTAAAACAACAAAAATTATTTGAAGAAAAATATGCTTTTGGTACTTAAAATATTAAACCTGTAATTGAAATAGTATAAGGCTCATTTATAGTGATGGGAAGATTGATACATAATGATAGAAAAATCTGTTTACTAAAGTTAAATCTTTTAAAACCTCCTTAAATAAAACACATATGGTTACACAAGATACAACAGAAAAACTTAAGACAGAAATAATCATTTATACTATGACACATGGACCAGCTGGAAGAATAAGTGCTTGTTTTTGTGTTATAAATTCATTGTCTGCTGCCCTAAAGTCTGTTCCCACTTATGCTCTGATTTTATGCTTAAATGTCATGGTTAGTACTTTATTAATTCATTATACAGTCTTGACCCCTGACACAATATAGTCTTAGTGTGTATGTTTCAATAAATTGTTATCAATACTTTTTACCTCAATATGAAGGATTTTTACATCTTCAGAACACAATGAAAGTTTTCTAGGGATATGTTAAAGGGATTAAAAAATACTGGAATAAGGCAGCTGAAACATGGCAACAATAAGCAAAGAGAACTCTGAGGAAATGTAATAGAAAAATTGTCAAAAACCTCAGACACAGCTATGATTGTGGTCAGCTCACAGACAGATAAGAAGAGGCCAACACACACATTAATAAAGACTTTCTATTTCTGTAAGGTGGTTGACATTTTTTAGACTCAAAAATATTGTTAACAATTGTGCAGAAATATGAAATCCATAAAGGACATTTAAAAGTGACTTAAAAAATTAGCTGAGTGTGGTGGTGCACACCTGTAATCCCAGCTACTCAGGAGGCTGAGGAATGAGAATTGCTTGAACCCAGGAGGCAGAGGTTGCAGTGAGCTGAGACAGCGCCACTGCACTCCAGCCTGGGTGACAGGGTGAGACTCTGCCTCAAAAAAGAAAAAAAAAATGAGTTGAGTATTAAATCCATAGCGAAGATGACTGTGTTACTACCTATCCAGACATTGGGAGAAGAGGGTGGAGGAGAACAGGTCAAAAAGACAGAACAAGTAGAAATGGGAAAGGCATAGTTATGAAAAGGTGAGCAGACTGGTGCAATGGGGAGTAGGGATATCATGGGGGAGAGTAGCAAAAAACAAGGTTGAAAAGACAGAAGAGTCAGGAAAGACTAGGGACTTTATGTTTGTAGGGAAAAATAAGCCATTTAGCAGTTGACCAGCAGAAGATTGATAAGATAATAGGTTATTTTGGGAAACTTATTCTGGTGTTGGTGTTCAAAACAGACTAAAAATCACAGCAAAATTAAAGTTAACTTATGACCCAAATCTCTTAAATATATTTGAAAAATATATTTAAATTGTGACATACCTATTTGAAACATATATTTTTTCAATATGTTTAATATTTAATTGCTCTAATACACACTTTGTTGCAAATTCCAACATATTATTTTCTTATACTTTAGATTTCTGAACTATTTGTAGCTTTTAAAATTCAATAGTCTATGGAGAGAGTGAGATATATTTAATTTACCTTATTTTCTTTTCTGTGACCTTTTTTCCAGCTTCAAAATATGTCACACAAATATATCTTATTATATTTAGGATATGGTTTAGCTTAACTAGTGTGCTTCTAACTGCCCATAGCATTTACCAAAAATTCATCTAGAAAATTATTGTAAAGAATGCCTATAAATCATATTGCCCCTTTGCAAAATTTTAAACTCTTGAAAATAGGCAAAGAGGTCAAATGTTTTTCATGTACTTTTGTGGAGACATTTAAGAATATTTCAATTATCAGATGTCTAACCTGAGCATTTTTGATTCCAAAAATTTTTCACCCATCTAGGAACTGTCTATCAAGGATGTTTGATAATTACAGGGTCAAATGTTGAATTTTCTTTAGAAGAAAATTTCAAAGAAGAATTTTTCTTTACTTGCATTTAATAAAACTTAGTTATCACATAACAATAATTAATTTATTCAAGTTCATTGGTTAACCAATGCATACTGAACTGAAAAAGCAAATCTACACTGTAGTTTTGGAATAATGCTTGCTTGTTGAATGTTGTTGGGAGTCTACACTCTGTTCTTCCACCATTATCTGCTGCTATTTGAAACAGCAGGTACTCTAACTGATTCCTACTTGAGGCACTCAGAGCACACAAGCAAACTTGGCAGCTTTTCAAGATAAGCATGGTCACGTAGAATAAAATCTCTCAGAGATGTTTTTTATCCTTTCTGTTCTGCAGGTCTAGGAATCTTATGGTAAATAAATTACAGCCTCAGTCTTAAAAGTAACTAAGATTTAGAAGTTCAAACCAAACTGCCACAAGGCAATAAAATGTTGCAGAAATAGTATGTACGGTTTTCACCTTGAAAAGTGGAATACCTCAGATATGTCACATTAGAGGTACATAATAGCAAGCCCTTTCTAAAGGGCAGAATGGGGAATTGCTGTATTACATTAGAACCAAACACTGTCCATATGTTACACAGGCAAGAGTAAAATATTTTTTTCAACTTAGTTGCTGAAACCACTTAATAAATCAGTTAAGAAAATATCTATAACTTAAAATGCTTGGCATAGGAATCTACAACAGAGATGCACAACCCAGCATTTTCTAGTAAACTAATAAAAATAATGCAATATTCCTTTGTTATGCTTCTATAACAAAAAGAGTTTATTGAAAGAATATAATACGTACTTGGATGTTTATCTCAAATAGGCTTTTTAAATGTTACATAAATGTACTATGTATTGAAATGGAAGGTTAATTGTCCTGTACAAATCTTATAAAATTTATCTTCAAAGCTAACCTGTACCCATGCCTGTCTTTTACAACAAATAGTTCCATTAAGATGTTCTGAAATTTATGTTAAAATAAGACAATTTTAACTGCATATGCATTGAAGTAATAATTAATCCTTGGACATATAACTACTTTCTTTTCCCTGCATTACTGTCTGAAATACATTTTCAATAACTTCACAGATTGCAAAGGTAATTCAGATATAAAATAAAATTTTAGAAACATTCTTTTCTAATAACAGAACTTTATTATAATTAGAATAACTTTGTGTGAGTGTGTGTGTGTGTGAGACAGTACTAAAATAGGAAACAAAGACTCAAAAGGGAAAATAAAGCTGAACTCCAGTTCTTTATAAAGACTAACATAATTGAAAATTAATCAAGCAAAAAGAGAAGGCAAAAATAAATACTATTAGGAATAACAAATGAGGGCATAACAGATAACAGTTCAAACAGAAAATAGACACTATAATTAAATCTATGCCAGTACACTTGAAAACTATATGAAATTGAAAAATAGAAACTTAAAATTTACTAAAGTGAAATCAAGAAGAAATAGAAAAGGTGAACAATTCTATAACCACAGAATAGGTATGCCTGTTAAAAATCTTCCCACAAAGAATAAACCTGTCCAAAAACTAACACTCTTTGAAGGAATGTAGATTCTCAAAACACAGAAACTTTCTAGAGAACAGAAAAAGAGGGCATCACTTCTTTTTAACTTTTATTTTAGGATTAGTGGTACATATGAAGATTTGTTACATAGGTAAACATGTTTCACAGAGGTTTATTGTACAGATTATTTCATCACCCAGATATTAAGCCCAGTACCCAATTGTTATCTTTTCTGCTTCTTTCCCTCCCACCACCCTCCCCGCTCAAGTAGGCCCCAGTGTCTGTTGTTTCCTTCTCTGTGTTCATAAGTTTTTGTTTAGCTCCCACTTGTAAGTGAGAACATGTGGTAATTGGTTTGTTGTTGTCGTTGTCGTTTTTGAGACAGAGTCTCACTCTTGTCACCCAGGCTGGAGTGCAGTAGCACGATGATCTTGGCTCAATACAACCTCTGCCTCCCGGGTTCAAGCAATTCTCCTGCCTCAGCCTCCCAAGTACCTGGCATTACAGGCACCTGCCACCATAACAGGCTAATTTTTGTATTTGTAGTAGAGACGGGTTTCACCAAGTTGGCCAGGCTGGTCTTGAACTCCTGACCTCAGTTGATCCGCCTGCCTCGGCCTCCCAAAGTGCTGGGATTACAGATGTGAGCCTCTGTGCCCGGCAGTTATTTGTGTATGTGTGGTTTTGTTTTTTGTTTTTTGGTTTTTTTTTTGGTCCCAGTGTTAATTTGCTGAGGATAATAGCCTACAGCTCTATCCATGTTCCTGTACAACTTCTAAACACTATGATATCCAAACTAGAGGGGGATTTTAAAAGAAAGTAAAAATAGTGATCTATTTCATTTATAAGATCTGAATATGCTAAACAAATTTTAACAGGCTGAATCTGGCCATGACCAAATTAGGTTTTCTTCCTCAGAATACAGGTAAGTTTGATATTAGGAATTTAATTAATGTACTTGGGCACATCAATAACTTAAAATCTATGATTTTTATATCTGTGGATACAAAATACATGACACAGTTTAACATTCACTTAAAAATCTTAGCAAACTAAGTCATTGAAATTAATTTCTTTATAATTAAAGGGCATCTAAGAAAATCTATAGCAAATATCATAATAAATGTCAAATATGGCAAGTTTTCTCTTCAGATTAGGCACATGGCAAAGATGATATCTTGAAACCAGTGTAAGGAGGTGAAGTTATGATATATTCAAAGAAGCAAAAAAGAGAAAAAAAATCTGTCAATCTACACTCCTGAACTCAGCTAAAATTTTATTTAGGTTTGAAGGTTAAATAAGGGCCCTTTCAATGAAACAAACACTGAGTGTTTACCTTCTACAGATCTGCCCCAAAGGTGCTTCTCAATGATGTTTTTAAGAAAAAGAAATATGACCTTATAAGAAAGGACTGAAAAGCAATGGTAAGCAAAGAGACTGATAAAAATGAGGATAAATCTTAATAAACATTGACTACACAATGTAACACTTATTGGATTTAAACATTA